TTCCCCATGACCTCCTTTACACGATTTCCAAGTTTGATAACATTGATCCAGTAGTTTTCCTTTTATGACCGTTTCAATGTGGAACTTTAATTATAACCACTCTGTATATTATTAAATTTTAATTTGAAGCTATGCGTTATATGTATACCATGTGTAAAATTTTCGCTTTTATGGAAAAATAAAAAATCGAAGCAAATATACTTAGTATAATGGACCAAAACTGAAAACATTCCCCTCCCTCCGAAATAAAATATGAAATTTCGAACTTGAATTTACTGGGTTATCGAATATTTAATTTGACTTATCTTCTAAGTCATAGTTCCGACAACAATTCCGTCAAAAATTCCGAATTACTTAAGCTAAAGTAAAATATTTAGTATGTATTCACTGTATGTTAATAAAGTAATCAGACTGTAATAAAAATAGATTATAGAATTTACGCTGATGTAACTTTTTGTCTGACTGCACAGCATGTAATTTAAGAGAAGGTTTGTAGAGATCTGTTTTTGACATGCCTCTAAAAGTAGATGTCATATTAATTTTGTCTCTTCAATGTCAAAAAACTTTCCTTTGAGAGGCAACTTTAGTTTTTGAGAAAGAAAAAAAATCACAAGAAGACAAATTTGAAGAACATGCAGGACGATTAAATATACATAATTATTTTCCGAACACAAGCGGTTCTCCGACTAATTATCGAATAATGAAAAGATGCATTGTCATGCAATACAAAATATTTGGAATACGTTTTCCAAATAATTAACTGATAACGTAAGATTAAAAGTCTGAATAACGTAAGATTAAAAGTCTGAATAACGTAAGATTAAAAGTCATCTGCTTAATTCACATCCATTTACAAGTCAACTACTCGGGCAATTGCAGAATCGTTTTGATCCTGAGCTTGTAAGACAAACCTAATACCACTGGATTTAAACACTTCTTTAATCTTCCGAGAACGTTCCTTCTTTAGCTCATATTCCAAGAATATTAAGTGAATACAATTATTGCCAAAGAAAATTGAATATTCATTTGCACTACGGCTTTGGTAGTTTACTAACGAGTTAACAAAACTTAAATTCTGCTTTTTGTGTCAAAGAATACAACAATATTTTAAATATTTACAAATAAAATATTAAATTGGAGATTTAATTGGAGCCCTCATCAGTTGCGTAGCATTTGAAAAAGAAAAATTGTTAAATACTAATTGTTCGCTGCTCAGTCTAACCCAGGCTGCATGGTTGGTTTTCGTAGTTTTTTAGGTTCTCTTACAAAGATTCTCTATGAAAGCATCTTAATCCAAATAGCTCCCATGTTCTTTCTATGTTCAAATACCAACTAACCTAGTTTAAGCGCGAATTTCCAAGTGAAGTTACTAGTAAAATCCCGAATACTTCATTAAAAATCATATAGCTAGTCAATCGGGAGTAACATGAAAGATACAGCGCCAATAATTAAATTGTTGTTACAATACGCTGTTTCTTAAACTTAGATGGTCATTCCTTAATTAAATAGCCCACCAACGGCAGAGCGGTAAAGACGCTGAACACTGGTAGTTCAGTTCGAGTTTCGAATCCCGCGAACGGGCTGGCCGCATGGGCGGTTTCGTGGTTTTCCCCATGTGTAACGTGTATACGAGCCAGTTTCCCTTAAAAAGTCCTCCACGAAGGCATCCCTCCCTTTAGGCAGATAGCCCTCGTGTGCTTTGCCATAATTAAATAATCCAATCCAATCCTTAATTAAAAATAATTGATTTGTAAATTCTACTAGAACTGACGTTAAGAACTGAAGTGTAAATAAATAATATCGTGTGAAATCTTGATTAATATAAAATTAAAAATATTTGCACAGAAAAATATTTGCCTTCAGACAGAAAGTTTTTTGAAATATTTGCAATTAGTTTATAAGAAAGATTTATTAATAACCGTAATAATTACTTATTATATTACTGATGATTAGGATTCAATTCTTGACAATTACATTCTAAATTAGAATTTTAAGGATATACGAAAATACGCTACGCACAAAAATACATTTTAGGAAAAAAAATTAGTTGATTTTTTATGTTTTAAAACTTCTTAAATTCATTTAGTAAACATCGTATCCTCATTGTTTATTGAATCCAGAATGTTGGTGTCGTTTATATAATTATTCTTACTTGCCCACAGAATCTGCTGACTTATCCAGCCATTAAGTAGCTGCAGATCATTTCTACATAACCATTGAACTTCCATTCTAGAGGGTTGTATGTTTATATCATAATTTGACTTTTATAAAAAATGATTATTCTAAATATTATGTTTCCTATAAAAATATATTGTGCTTTTAAAAATATGGATAATAGTATCAGCCGCTCTTTCAGCCTCTTCAAAAGCAACAGTTTGTTTAGAATAAATTATGCAGTTAATGTCATAAAATTCAAATAATTATCAAACGAAAATTCTCAGTTTTAGACAATTCGATTTAAACGAAGTAAAGTAGCAGACGATAAAACGCCGAAGGTAAAAATTTACTCTATCAAAAACTTACTCTTAAATTTTTTTAAAAAGAAAAAGATACGAGAGAAATTTAAAAAATAGTTAAAAATTTGAATAATATCATCTATAATTTAAAAAAAAATAGCCTTTCATATAGTATTAATAATATTTTATTATGCATCATTGAGGGAAAAAATGTCATATAATTAATTCTCCGTAAAGTTTACTTGAAGTTTAAGGTTAAAAATAGCTGTGGCAATTCAGTGTAACAAAAATCCATAGACCACATTTGGCGTTATTATCGCTCAAAAAAAAGGTGCCAAATTTCAAAACGCGAAATTATGTAAATTCGTGTATATCTTAGAAAATTTTGAATAAAAAAGTCTAATTTTTTTGCAGATATGCTTAAAAATACACCTACTTTAAGATGATGGTAAAAATTTTTATAGGTTATAATTCAACATTTTTTTCGAAAAATCTATAGAAATTATTTAAAAATAGAAATTAAAAAATAAAACGCAAAAAATGGGTAAATTTTATTTGGAATGAACCAAAATTTCGAAGTGTGAGAGAAAAAATCAAAAAGGTTTAATAAAAAAAAGAGATATTAATAATATTTGCCAAATTCAATTAACATTGAGGAGGTAAATTTTGAGAGCTAATATTTTAAAAACTATTCGTACGATTTTTACAAAACTTGGTATTCTGTCATAATTTGAGTCGTAGAATCGAAATATGTAAAAAAATTGTTATGTTATTTCAGAAAAAGTCCGATTTTGTGTCAAAATACCTATGTTAGAATAGTACTATATATAAATCTAATATATATCCTAAGTCGCACTTTCGAGACATGAAAAACGTAGTTTGAATTTTGTCAATCGGCCCAGTAGAACGGGAGATATAGCACTGTCCCATTTTTTTTTTTTTTTTTTTTTTTTGAGCAGTGTACATATGTTTGTAGTGTAGTGAACTTCTCAACCAGGGGGATTTCGTTATTCCAAGGGGGAAAGGAAGTCAGCTTTTTATTTACTTGTTAAGTATTTACAATTACTTTTATTTTATGAATGTAAAAATCTGATGTAGACACCGCATAACTTCCTTGCACGCCTGTTAAATTATACACAATTTTTACTGCACTTCATTTAAACTCGAATTATTTTAGCTTTGATTAAGCAATCCCTCAAGGAAACATAAAAATGTTATCAAAACCAAATTTTTAGTATGATTTAGTGTAATTTAATGGGCTGTACAAGGACATCATGTGGTGTTCACATCAGGTTATTTTTAAAATAGCTGAGCTTGTTGATTAAATTCGAAAGACAAATATATTGTGTTTTACCGAGTGGAAACAGATTTCTTTCATTTCTTTGATATTTCTGAGTTTTCTGATTAAATTTGAAATGTAAATATCTTACGCTTTTCCGAGTAATAATACAAAGCTTTTACATAGTTGAATTTTTATTCAAAAGTTAAGGTTACAAAAATATGAAATAAATCAAAAATAAAGTCATTCAGAATTTGAGGGGCATATGCTCAAGCGTAAGACTATATTCAAAATTTGTAGCTATAGGTGCCGTTGTTTTTTCCCATAGCGAGCATTATACATATATTAATGAATACTGTTTCATTATTTAAGAGTAAAGATTACTGCTAATAAAGTGAACAATGTATTTAACTTTTTATTGAATTGAGAGTTATATACATGAATTTACATTTTGGGGTGTTTTGAAATTTGGTGTATTTATTATAAGCGATAATAACAAAAATGTGGTGTACGCATTTTGTTAAAATTATTTGAAAGTGTGAACGATGACCTTTTTTCCCGCTCGTGCAGAAAGAATAAAGGCAAAAGAAAATAGGTTGCTATAAATTCAGAAGTTCGCCAAATAAACTATTCTTCGCGCAAATTGAAAAATTTCGCCAAGATAAATTTTTAATTTTATACATAAATTTCTCACCAAAAATTACAAAATTTAATATGTGCGCATAATTTGAGTCGTAGAATCGCAATATGGAAAGAATTGGTATGTTATTTCAGAAAAAGTAGATTTTGGCCCAAAATGCTAATGTTAGAACAATGCTATATATAAATGTAATATATATCCTAAGTCGCGCTTTCGAGACATGAAAAACGCAGTTTGAATTTCGTCAATCGGCCCAGTAGAACGGGAGATATAGAACTGTCCCCTCCCCCCCCCCAGTCTACGTACAGACGTTACGATAAAGATCCATTTTGAATCCATTTTACAATCCATTTGGAATTAACAGACGTTTATTCTGTAAGAATGGATTTACGTTGAAATCTGGAATCGAATTTTTTATGATTATTACGATACTTCTTTTATTTCGTACAAGGAATTAAAGAGGTCTTATATATTACATTTATATATAGCATTATTCCCCTTAAACCACTGTTTGTGGCTGAGGGAACAATGTATTTCATATTACAGTCAACAGGTTTAAAAAATATCTGAAATTTAGAGAAACATGTAATCGTTTGTAAGCGAATTAGGATTTTAAACGTCTTACCAGCAGCCTTTAATTTTGCGCATTCTTCGTTCAAGGAATCAACAGCTTCCTCGAGAGATCGTTTTTTGGCATCAACATCTCTCATTGATTCTTGAAGAGATTTCATTTTTGCTTCGTACTAGATTAAAAAAAATAAATATTTATTAAAGTGATGTTTTTATCATTTTCATTTAAGAATTACTTGCATTCATACCGAATATTATTAACGTTCAACGAAACGAACTATTTCAAAAACAAAATATCGAATCATACAATTACACGCTGAACAAGTACTGTTACGTTTTTTTTTTCTGACACCAGTTGTTACGTTATTTTCTTCCTTCACGCTCTTACGGGGTTCGTGTGGATTTGGAGTGAATAATGACAACACTTCTTGATGAAGTATGGAAGCACACACTTTACTGGCCGATATTAATCAGGACAGCTCCAAAAACACTTTTAAAGTCTTCGACGACTTTTAAAGTCGTCGAAGACTTTAAAAGTGTTTTTTCTTTTTAAATTCACTTTTAAAGGGCGAGGAAACGGGACAGTTTTAAAGTTGAAGCTGGAACAATAAGCGATACAGCCTTCACACTGTCAAGCAATAACGGTGGTGACAGCTTCACTCCAAAGCACCATAGCACAGCTCCCGACTCTGCTCGGTCGTTCTCGAAACTCCACGTACTCTCGATTCTCCACGCTTCAACTCGCGATGCTCTCGATGACACACAGGGCATAGCTCCCGACACTTCGGTTCAGTCATTCCGGGAGGTTAACACACTCTCTCGACGACCCACTCGGCACTCGCTGCCCGGCTGTCAACTCGATCGACTCCGCACAGACTGTCTAACTCGAGACTAACTATCTCGCACTCTAGACGAGGCACACTCGATACTAACTATCTCGCACTTTATGAGGCATACTAACTGACTGCGGACCAACAGGGTTTATATAGCTTTCGACTTGTGTTCAAGAACATTCTGGGCTAAACCGGTAAGAATACGTTCCAGAAGGTTCTCCATCCGTCCATGGCATATCGCCAATTTTGTCGCCAAATGTGGCAACCCTGCCTTCTTTTGCCATTTTATGGCAACCCTGAAACTGCTTTGCGGGGAAGCTATCTCACCGCGCCTGTACAATTCGTAATAGTACTAATTTAGAAGCCAAACAACAAAAATCAGCGTTATATTTTCAGATTTTCACAGGACTAGTTTCGATGGTTTTTACCGAACCATCATCCTCAGCTGCAAAAGCGAAAGTCTGATGCTATGATTGAAATTTTAAGATTTTTAACAGTTCAGAGAAAAAGAAAGTAATGAATCATATGAAGTTTGCTGAATTTTTTATCGTTATTGGTTTAATTTGTTTGAATATAAATGCTCTCTAAGTTATATACTTTGAATAAGCGTTTTGCTTTCCTTTGAAAGACGTAGGATATTCTTTGTAAAGGTTATTGAATCATCGGAAAGCCCTTAAGTAGCAACCAGATCTAAGAAATGTTGCTACAAGCTTTCTTCTTGTGTCTAGAATTTCAGCCTAACTCCCGACACTTCCTCTCAGGCAGCGGTAAGTGAAGCGTCGAACTGAACTCGCTCCGATCGCGTAGTATCGGCTGACTTTCCTGAAAACTAGCATGCGTATGCCTAATGTGGATTCCCGCTTTTGATTACGGTGCCGCTAGCGATTCACATCTGATATTTATTTTTGTAACATGTGTATATGTGCTAAACTATATATTTTCTAATTTATTAAAGCAGGGGATGTATGTCAGGTATGTCACAGGTATGTCATCTTTATCCTTGCATTAACATACATCTCTACAGAATGGTAATTCTACAATCTATTTACTGTAAATTAGAATAAATCTTTGCTGTTCAACCATAGATAAAATTTTCCTGCAATCGGCATTACATCAGAAGAAAATTGGAGACTATGTTTGTACTCAAATGATAAGTAAAAGTTTAAGGTAAATTTATCAATAATTTTTATTATTCTTTTTTAGAATTAATTTTATATTGTTATGAATATAAAATGATAAATCATAGTTATAAATGTGGAGAGAGAAAGAGGAGAAAAAGGAAAGAATCAGAATCTCGAGGGAAGAATCAGAATACTAAATAATTCATACTGTAAAATTATTAATATATACTAAAATTGGAAAAGAAGAACCGACAAATTTAATAAATGAGGATAATAATAACTGTCGAATCGGATATACCAAACGAAACTTCCCATTCCTTGAAATTCATTATAGCAGGGTTCTACTGTACTAAGTTATGTGATGCATAATTTCTATTATACCCCGATTTTTTTGTGTTATACGTCGATTCATTCCTCTGAGGGAATAAATGAATATTCTGTTATGCAATTTTTTATTGTCAATTCTTTTCACAGCTCAGCTTTGTTATTAAAAACATCAATTCACCATACTTTTCATGGCTATTTTAAGATCTCTCTTTCTTTCGATAGCTACAGTATTAAGGAAAAAGAAAATTAGGTATTTCAGATGTAACAGGGGTTCAAATACGGTTGGTAGAGCGAAGGGAATATTGCTTGAAGGGAAAGAATAGATGATAAAATCTGCTGACCAGACAGGTTTACTGCTTAGTTTCAGTGTCAAATGATATGCATGTTTTAAAATAACTTTCATTTGCCCTCTGCGCGTGATGCTTTTCTTATGGCACTAAGAAACTAGACGGCAAATTCTTCAGGAACAAACTACGACAGTGTTTCAAGCTGCATCTAAAGATTGTTTTCTTCAGAAGAAATTAAAATCTTACATTAACATTTTTTCCAGACGAAAGTATTATATATTTGATTTAATAACTTACTCTGAGCTGAGTAGAAAAAATGTAGATCTAGGTAGTTAGAGGCACAAATTTTAACTTGATATAAAAATGCAATTAGTATAATGCCCTTTAATTCTAATTGTTTGAAGAATTTATTCCAAAATTAACTCTGTCAATATATTTAAAAAAATGCTTAGTTAAGTAAATAAATTACCTGGCTAATAAGTAGACGGCCTTCAGCAAGTTCTTTTTCATTGGCTTCAATTTTCTTATTGCAGTCAGCTTGAAATGCCTCCAACTGATGACAACGCTTTTAAAAAATAAAAATAAAAGTTATTAGGAAAAGGTCAAGCAAAAACTTAAATGTAATAGCAAATCTCTGAAAGCGAATTTCTCCAAATGAAAAATGAAACGCCGTTATCTTTGTGTACAGCGTAAATTGAGAAGAATTCCCACCTTTTAAATTCATGTAAAGTAGAAATATACAAACACAAAATTTAGAATCAGCCATATACAGCCTTCAACTGATATTAGTTTTAATTTAAAAAGAAGTCTGTGTAATACGGTAGAATACGTTAGGCCATCTGTTAACAAGATGAGACCACAATACAAATGACCCAGTGTTTGTTTATTAAATGACAATAACAAAGTACATGAGGGCTATTTAAAGGGAAAAATTTTGAAGGTGGCTTCCTCGTGAAAATGCTTATAATAAAAACATAGTATTTTAAAGTTCTGGAAGTAGCCCGATCTTCTTTGTTGCAAGTAGCGAGAGAAGCAGTAGAATATCCAGCAAAAACATAAAAAAGGTCTGTAAAAGGCGAGGAAATGCCTGTTTTAGTTGGTGCTAATGGTTGCAAAGGAAGAGTAACTGGGTACGCATGTTTCTCTTGGGGTCGTGAAGGAAGAGTAACTGGGTACGCATGTTTCTCTTGGGGTCGTGATTTTGAATTGAAATTAGAGCGTTCTTATGATGTTTAATGTACAGTAAAAATTGTGGGCAGTTTTCGAAATGTATTTTCAGATAGTTTCGATTTTGAAATGAAAACATCCGAAATTGCACATTTGTAATGTGCTATGTTTTAGAAACCAAACAGTATTCGCTGTTTACCTAAAGACCTTATTTTTCAAAATTTGAATTTTGGAGAAATTTCTTTTTGCAGCCTGTCCCTGTATACGAGAGGTTTAAATTAAGGCTGAATAGATTATTGTTTTAGATAATACCATTTGATTATGAAGAGAAAGACTGCTATGTTTTCCTAGAGAAGATTCCTAGATAAATGTATTAAATTTATTTATGAGTATGACAAAATGAAGTCCCAAAATGAGTATGATTACCTAGGTATATGACTTCTTATTTCCAGTGTATTTCTTCCTCAAATAACGTGAGAGTAGATGTTGAGTGAGTGGCCTTTGCTAAATAGAATCGTATTCGATTTGTTTACATTAATTGAAATTCTCCAGTCTGTAAGCTATTTATCTAGCAGATGACGATAATACTGAAGTAGGTAATATTTTTAAGTGTTTTGGACTGTGTCAGAATAGCTGTACATTTAGCGAAGTGTGCTAATTGAAATGAAGATATTTTGGGATGTCGTTAAGTACAATAAAGGACTGAAAATTAAACCTTGGAATATACCTGGTTTAATCGGCCTCTGCCAGGTCTCAAATGTTGACTTACATTTATATTACAAGAGAGGTAAACCATGAAAGCACCTTTGCAGCCAGTTCATTGCTAGAATTCGAAACCAGGTCGAATTGTCGGTTTTCAGCTATCTGATCTACTCGGCCATTCACGGTCGGTCTACATCTATTGAAATATTCAATGTAAGTGCACGCCTGCAGATCGCTAAGATTATGGATTTTCCTCAATGCATTTAGTCTGCGTGGTCAAACAGTGTGCAGATTCCGATCGAATGAACATAATGGATATCTAAAAAGGAATGATCATTTTATCCTTAATGAATTTTGGCGGCAGCAAGCTGTTTCATACGTTGTTCGATATGGGATGGTGTTTTATCTTGGCGGTTGAATTAAGATGTTAAGTTAAAATGAACATTAAGTCACTGAGTTTTCTTGTAAAGGACTATAATTAACTTGCAAACAGCCGATCCGATTTCACATTCTTCAAAGAAAAATTGGCCAGTGTGAATGGCAGAGTGTTGAGAGGAAGCTGATTGGTAATTCATATCGTTGTGTTTTAGATTCGAATTAAGGATAAGTCACAATCATCGATGATAAATTTTGCAGCATCGAGGCATATAAAATGTGACTAGATACTACCTTCTCTAAAAATTATGAGTAGAGAAGTAGGAGGAAGAAATCCCTGGATTTCATCGTCTGGGATATACTCAGTGAAATTTAGAAGGAAGTAAAGTAGACAGCTCTAGATTGCTTTGCCGAATTAATATAGTTCAGGAAAAGATAAATGGTCCAAACAGAAATAGAAACCCTAAATTCACCATCGGTGTCTTTAGATACTATACTAATAATCTTCATCATAAAAAATTGTGACTAACAGAGACAGCTAGCGTGGCATAAAGATATTGGGCAGAACAGAAATTGGCTTTTATCAATTTGTTCGGTGATTAATATTTATCAGTTTGCTTGATTACTAGTATTTTAAATTATTCATAAAATAGCTCTTCGTAACCTCACAGAATGACGTTTTGCTTATAAAAGCCAAGAAAACTTTCCTAATCTTTCCAAGATCTATCTGCTAACGCGTTTGAAAATGGCTAACTTTATTCAGCTAGTGGAAATACGCTTTCCGCTTAATGTTCTTGGGTACTGTAATATATTTTGCAGTAACTGACAAAATAACAGATAATCTTCTTAGTAAAACTTTAATTTTATTTTTAATTAGGGGGATAGATAATTTGAATACAATTCTTTAGCGGCAAAAAATTTTCATACATATACTAGCTGGTCAAACTTCAGAATTCTAATTTTAAATAATTTCTTACATTGCTGAGCAATGGTTACATCATCCAAATATGGCGTTGCCACTTCAATAATAAATATAGTTATTTGTTAAATAACAAAATATTACAGTACTGACGGTTCAGGAAACCAAATGAAATTTAAAGTTCAGCTGCTGGTCCAAAAGCTATAATTAAAGTTTCCTTATACGAATATTTATAGAAATACAGCGATATAAAATATCTTACAGTTGTAAGAGCCTTGACCTCTGACTTCATTTTGCTGATAAAAAGTCGAGCAACGGTAAATTCTTCCTCAATTTTCCCAGAAACCTCGGCAGAAAACTGAAAATATTGCACGTAAAGTTATTATAAAAGCATTTATAAATAATCAGGTCTGGAATTTAAATGAGATATTATAAGAAGCAAAGAGCTGTAAATTTTACATTCAGAAATGCTTTTAACTTAGTAGCAATAATTAAAGTTAAAACTTTATTTTGATCTACGTTCAGAATACTAAAAGGACTCACTTTTGTGTCTACAGAATTATTTCCAAGAACGTGACCGACTTCTCCAAGGTCTTTCAGGAGGTTTGTTAACATCTCAGTCACCCGTTTCCGTTGATGAAGCGTATGATCTTTCATTTGTTGTAATTCGTTCTGCGCAGTGTTCAGTTGTGACTGTAAAATGACAATTCACATGATTATTAATATTTTACAATTTTTTATATAGATGTTACTATATAAAGGGAAAGCAATTGCTGTTTTAAACGTTCAGAAATATTAAATTATCAGATGAAAAATGTCAAAATATAGTCACAAATATCAAAAACTAAAGCCTCCAAATTTGAGGTCATTAATCATCATAGAACTTAGTGTTCTTTCAAGTGCCGAAATCTCATTTAAATTTCAAACTACCTCTTCATTGAGAGAATAAAATTATATTCCTAGAGTTTCGAAAGCCTTGTGGTTGAATTCTACACTAAACAAATGGATACTAAGCTAAAACCACGAGGTAATATTAAAAGGTCTTAGAAAATTGTTATATTCGATGAATATTCTAGCTAATACCAAATGTGAAAAAATTCTATTTTAATTCGTTAATTTGATATAGGTTACTTTTACAATGAACTTTGTATAGCTAATACAAATAATTTTATACTTGCTGATGTTTTTCTCTCTTATTCTTTCTCAATGTTCAGAATAACAACATATCTACTTAATTTTAGTTGTATTTCAAATGAGATATATATCCGCAATATAAGAAATTTTAAAGCTTCGGAGGTATTAATTCCTGATTAATTGATATAAATTATACCTTAAAATCGTTTTAAACTAATTCTTGGCTTCAATTATTTATTTTATATATAGAAAAACATACTTCCTGAGCTGAATAGGTTACATTAATTTAAAAAAGAACTGAAAATGACTTAATAGACAATTTATGTTCAATAATTATAAATATAAACTCTTTCCAATCTCCATCATAAACTCTTTCCAGTTTTCAAAACAGTATCTGATTTCAAATAATTCCATAAAAAGCTACAATATATAAACGACAGTTCAAGCATACCGGTATAGTTGGTGTATATTTTCAAATTTTTGTGCTTTTTGATGATGATTTTTCAAAGTTCCTGTTTATAATGAGCGGAAAAAGAAAAAATCAGTATTTTAAATCACACTTACAAGTTTCTGACTAAGTTCTTCATTTAAGCTTTCGTACTCTCTATTCTTGTTTTCTACTTCTTGAGATTTCTGATCGTAATTAACAGCTAGTTCTTCTAAAGCTTGCAAAACTTCTTTCACTTCTTCTTTTGCAGACTCATTCTCTTGCTGAATGCGGTTCATTTCCTGTTGCAGTGTTTCATAATCCTTACGAGTCGACGTAATCAGCTATGCAAAACAAGAATTTATTACAAGCGAGTTAACATGATGAAAAATAATACATGTGGAAATATTAAAACATTTAAAAAATCGTCTGCCAGTAAACAGCAATACTGCTTATTTTCAAAGAATGACTTTTTGAAACTGGCAACGAAGAAGTATTCTTAAGATATAATAGTCAATTGTGTTCCCAGGAATTTGTTATAAATGATTTAAAATAGTGAAAAATCATAGGAATAGTGAAAAATGTGGCTTACATTTGTTTTCGGACACTTGCATTTTTGAAATTCATTTGCATAGATCCCGTACTAAATACTGAAATACAGACTTCAAATGTTATTTTTCTGTCTCTTGTTGCAAAACAAACATCATCAATATATTCCGAGTAATAAAATAATTTACTTGCAAAGTATCGATCAGAAACTCACATAGTAAATCGGACTTCAGTGTAAAAATATAAATATTCTTTGAAAACCTGAAAGCATCTGCGAGAAAACTTGGAACGCAAAAATACATTCCAACTTATCAAGATAACAATCTCAATAGCAATCTACTCGGAATGTAACTTACTTAAGAATGTAACAAATGCAATAATCTTATACGAAAACGTTAGTTGAATTCATATTAAATCGCATGAAATGTATCATTTCACCTAAAGGATATCCAACGAAATGTTGAATATCTTATTTTCATGTTTCTATTAAATATGAAATGTTTGTTTAAAGAGTCTGAATATTTATGTGAGTTCGCTTTCGGAATTGCTTTAGTAAAATATTTTTTAACAAAGTGATTTGAATAACTACTTCCAAAACAAGCAAGTTTTAAATTAGTCGATCAATGTGAAAAAATGCCGTCATTTTGCTAACATTTAGTAACTGATATTTGTAAATAAAAATTAAAAACATAAGTGTCTGATAACAAATGTGAGTGATTGTATTTCGAACAGTGCATACTAGTAAGTATAGGAATCAGAAGAACTTGTTACAAAATTGATTTAAGCTTAAAAATGACAGAACATGAACATTTGCGTCATTTAAAATATTTTGGATTGGGAAGTATATATTCATAACTAACGACTGCAAAAAAAAAAAAAAAAAAATCGGGTGAGGACTTTAGTGAACACGGCATATATGGTGAACAGGATATCGGCATAAAGGAAAGATGAATAAATTTATCTTAAAATATTTTGTGAGTACTTTAATATTATGTAATAAGAACGTAAATTTCATTAAAAAAATTCATTTAAGTAGAATGAGCAAAAAGCGCGTTTATAATATTAAGTAAACAAATTAAAATTCTTGACGTAAATATTTATCAAAATTTATCGAGTTACATAGATCGGAAAAGCAAACGAGCCGCTGATGATATGAATACTTCAATATTTGATCAAGCTTTGCAGTCGCCAATTAAATTTTTAAGTAATTCTGTATTAATTTAGTTCTTTTATAGGACGTTCCATTTCTTAATGTCATGAAAAATAAATTTATTATTTCAAATTAATTACTTGTTAGTTTAGAGTAAATATATTATAAAATAAAATAAAGTTTATCCACAAAATATAAAGCAATAAAATATAGTTTTATATTTTGTGGATGAACATTATTTTATTTTTTAAACGAATATGTGGTATGTATTGTCATATAAATGAAGTATTCTTATTATGATTGAATGTTATTTGCTATTACATTATGTTATTTCTTCTGGCATAGGCGTTTTTCGTCGGGTAGTGGGAAAATCTCCTAAGAGTAAATTTCTCTTAGTTTCAAGGGGAGAATGCAGTCAGCCTTTTATTCAGTTTAGTTTTAGTTTATAAATATAAAAAAGGACTTTTTTCAAATTTTTTAATTTATCAATATTTTCTAGTTTAAATTATAAACACATTAAAAATTAATATGAATTTATATGAATCTATATGTATTTTTCGAGTTTTAGAAAAGAGAGAAGGGAAATGATCATCTGTCAATGCTGAAAGGGGCGCATTGGGCAAAAAGATTGAGAACGACTGATCTAGCATTACTTTAATTATGCTTGAAATGAGAAAAGATAAAGCAAATAAAAAAAAATCTGAAATGTTTCAGATTTTAAATTACGTCCAAAGGGGCGTTTTTTCACATTTTGTGTGTTACCTTTCTTTATTAAATATCATGTTCTCGCACTTAAACCATAAGATCCAGTGCAACAGCATATCGCAAAATAGTTTTAAAATGAGCATATCTTTAGAATTTCCGATACACCAGTCTCGCGCGTTGGAGATAAAAATGTTTTTTCTGTAAAATATTGCCATTGCTTGCTTTGAAATCCTTGAGTTTGTTAATCAAAAATCGCAAAGTTTTTAAAAATAGGAAATCGATCATAAACAAATTTCAAATTTCAAATTTGGTCTTCCACTACTCATATTCGTTGGAGATTCCGTTATTCAAAATTCGATGACTCTATGTACCGTTATTTTATGACAATGTGAGAAATATACATACATTTACGCAGATTTTCATTATTTAATTCTTCAATATAATGCAGGACTCTAACATTTATGGCAACAGTTTGAAGTGAACCGACATTTATCCGTCCGACGCAAAATGCCAAAACGAAACTAATAGTCCTTCGGGATTCAAATCCCTTTGGACTAACTAGAGAAAATTTGCATAAAAATTTACATAACATAAAAAAGAATTGTGAATAAAATAAAAAGAACTTTTGTTTTATTAATAAATTAACGCAGTTAAAGGACAGAAAAGCATTTCTTCAGCGAAACTGCTATATAATTAGCGAAACTCTCATTAAAACCCAGGATGATATTTAAAAAAATGCTTTTAGCTTGTAGTTTGAAATGAGTTGAATAAAGATGATATACCTATATAAATGTATTTACTAAACTTGTAACTAAAATTAATGAAACCTCTGTAATAAAAAGATAAAATATCGAAAAAATCATCAAACAGAAAAAAATATTTACCAAAACGTAGACACATCCAAAAATGATATCACTTCTGATAATAATATAATTTAAAACTACAGAAACTTTGAAAAAGGAACTAAAAGAACATATACTTCTTCCTGTTCCAACATTTGCTCTTTCAGTTTCTCAATCAATTGACTTTGTCGATCAATCTCGTCATCTTTTTCGTCAAGCTGAGCATACAAACGACTTCTTTCTTCTTCAAATTTAACACGTTCAGCGTTGCTAAGTGGTTCTGATGAAACTTGAACAATATTCACAGGAAGATTTGAAACAGGAATGTTATCGGTAAGGCTAGTTGTGCTGTTCTCCATTATATCTTTCATTAAGAGTTGCTCGTCATGAGGTACGTTTTCTCCTATAATTAAGGAATGGTATTAGTTTCTAAACATTTTATTGAACAGAAATTAAAAACTGGAATATAATATATTAAATACAGTAATCAAATGTAAACATATTATTGTGTGCGTACGGTTTCGTAATAGATTGAATGCACAAGTCCAATAAAAGTTTAACTTTATCCTTATCAAAAGAAATATACCAGAAAGCTGTATATTTCCTCAGAGATATTCCTACAATATCACTATATCACGCAATATAATCAGTAGCTGTATTTAAACTACTAAAATGTTAAATAGAAAGTAATTCACAGGGCAGAGAAAGCTAATCCGATGAATAACAAGAGAAGCTAATTAAAAACAACTGAGCTGAAATGTCTTTATATGGCTTTTTAATCGGTCGCGAGAAAGTTCTGGTAATTTCTGTTTTCTCGAGATTTCTGGAAAGCAAAAAGTAGAATTACGGTTACAGATAACATAGTAGTCAATTAAATTTAATCAAATTAAATATAAATTACGAGATATCTATTTCTTAAATGTTAAATTCGCGTGCTCCTGTATTTTTAATTTTCCGGCGTAGCTTTCTCTTAAAATATGTCTCGTGCTGCATTATACGGGGATATAAAACAATTTTAATTACAATTCTACTAAAAATAGCTAAAAAAATACAAAATCTGTAGCATTATATAAAACGAAACAATGGTACAGGAGCATTTCGTGTTTGTTATAAACTTTTATTTAACTGACTGATGATGTTTCACTCTAAATGGAATTTTGTCATCGATTTCTAACCTACTTCCTGAGCAGTAATCAAGTTCAAATTTTGTACATACGCGATTTGTCAATGACAATGCGCTTCGAGGAGAGGATTATTTCAAAATTCGGTCTATATTTTTGTGCATATCTTCGTTTAACGAGCAAACTGAGTGTATCAAAATTTTACTGTTTACATCGCCGCATAGAGCAGAAAACGAAAGCTCTTCGATGAAATCTGTATGAAAATTGCAAATGAATTTCTAAATATTTGGCGAGTTTTTGAAAATTGCTCGATTTTATTTGGCGTTTATGAATTTAGAATTTCGACTCCTAAAAATGTATCAGATATAAGGATTTGAAATGTTCGCAGTTATAAAGGAAACCTTTCATTCTATTTTAAAGCAAGCACACGGGAGAAAAAAGCTTTTCTCGCAGAATATTTGCGTTTGAGTTCACCATTTTGGAGAACTTAATGATGAGCTGGAGATATTCTTTCTTTTTTTTAGTAATAAGCTTCATTGCATTTACTTGAAACTAATAAGTTTCAAGTAATATTGCTAGTACATTATCCGTTGTAATATAGTTATTACATCCAATTTCCAAAACTGAATATTCAAAGCGACTTCTTCATTCACTGAGTGCCGTTCCACTATATTTCTTTATTTCATAATGTTCTTGTAATTTTTGCTTGTATTTGAAGGCCCCTTGCCAATTGATTCCATTTAAGTTTAATAATTTTGTTTCATATTTTATATTTAACATATTTCTCCCTTTTCCTTTCAAAGAGAAAAAGGATAGGCGAGAAGAAAAGAGGAGTTTTGAGAAGAAAAGAGTAGAGTTTTGAGAAGAAAAGAGTAGAGTTTTGAGAAGAAAAGAGTAGAGTTTTGAGAAGAAAAGAGTAGAGTTTTGAGAAGAAAGCAGTAGAGTTGGCAAAGGAAGAGGAACTTTGGAGATTATTTACAATATTTACAATTGCAATGAGAAAGCAAATGACGTTTCCACTATACCCAGTCCATACTATTTATGTTTCCATTATACCCAATCATTTGCTTCATGAACTTTCTCATATTTGAATACAGAAAAATATACAGAAATATAATTTAAAAATATAATAACAAAATATTATACAATTTGATAATGAAATTCAGATACGGACTTAAAGTTGAATTTGAAAGTCTCTAAATGATAAAGTTTGTAAAGTTCTAGAAATATTATTAAACATTACCTATAAATGTTTGAATGTGGAGTATCAAGAGTGGAGAATGTTTAGAGTTTTTGGAAAGGACTTGGAAGAACACATCAAGAACTTTACAGTCAGTTGAACAGCTCATAAAACCATGCATTATAATCAGCAATATAAAATTTAAAATGTTTCTAAGGTAAGATAAAGTGATAAAATTATATTTCGCGTAATATAAAACAAATTTAGATGTTGTTATTGTAGAGCAATGTAATACTTAATACATAAAAACAAACAAAAACAATATAATAATAAACTTTGACAAAAATGACAGGTCCTGTATAAACGAATCACCATGACTACCTGCTGATGGCTGTGGGATACAGTGACACATAAACCCCCTGAGAGTTTCTATTATTTTAATGGCCATAAAAGTTCTTTTACATTATGTACTTGTAATACAAATAAATATACAAAAATTAAAATTCAAATTAAGGCAAATAACTAGTATCCTCCAGTCATGTCATATAATTTAGTAAAAAAATCTGACATTACTGTAAAATAATAATAATAATAAAGAATTTAAATGTGTGTCTTGTTGTACGTGTAGAAGCACTTTATGCTGAAACTATGGTCAGAAAAATGCGACTGATGAAAACAATTCTCAGTCTGTTCAGGACCATAGTTGACTGTCCTAATTGAAAAAAAAACACATTAAGAATGGGATAAGAAGTAGTAATTTCCTAGGGGGACAGCAGGCTGTTCTGTCTCTAAGGAGAGAGCACAAAGAATAATACAGATGGTGTAAAACCTTGAATCAGACTTACAGCAAGATAACATGCAGTCTTTTAGAATCTGGTATGATATCCAGATTGCAAAATGTTGAAGGACAAAATTTTCGTCACCTCATCTCCGGGCTTAGGAGAAACATATACAACAAATTTTGAACGGAAACTCCCTAGGAAAAAGGAAAAGAGCCAGACTGGGTAAAGGTCAAATTCGGGAATAAAATTGTCATTGTTAGGCGTTAATATCTTTATGAGATTAGAAAATCACAATCGGGTTATACAAAATTTAATAAATTTAAATTTTGGAATTTTACAGTTTGGAAAATAAAACTTGCTTAATTCTGAACACCAACAGGTATTATACTATTTCTGACAGTTATTTAAATTCATTTTCTGTATTAAAAGGTCTGAGACTAGTAGAATGGACAATTTCTGATTTCCTTTTAGTAAGGAATTTTATTTATCTATTTCAAAGGTAACTTCATAATATCGCTTTAAAATTTTATTAAAGCCTGAATAAAGGAAGGGAATGTTTTCTAGTAATAGGATATTAAAATTCTTCATACATTACTAAACCACTATGTTTAAAATTACTTGCTTTAAAATGGGAGTTATATCTATTTTTGTTTACATTGTGATAACACTCGGACATCTTTTGAGAAATTTTCCTACCTTCTTCAACTGGTGGGTATAAATCTTGATTTTCAATTAAAGAATCATAATATGATTTTCCATACATTTAGTAAGATGGTAGGAATTTTGTTACGGAAGACGTTGTGTTTTTTACCCTTCAGTAACGTGAGGTGACAATTTTGGTCACGCAATATTGCATTGATAAGAATTTAATTTATATTTTAGTATAGTTTTAATGGTTTGATTAATTCTTTCTGCTGTACCATTATTTTGTGGTCTATTAGCGGCAGTTAACAATTGTGTAAAATTATTCCTTCTTAAACAATGCTTAAATTTTGAAGAAGCAAAAGCAGCGTTTCTACCATTTCTCTTTGGGACCTGAATTTGAAATATGTACCTTAAACAATTATTATCAGTAGTTACACTTTTAGAAACAAAAGTCCATACATATCGTAAGTATTATTATAGTAATGAGAATATACTTTATAGTAGAATCATAATAGTTTAAACAATATATAATAGTTTATCAATAGATAACAGTTCAAGAGGTTTGCATACAGATGGTAATGATTGCATTACACTATATGCTTTTGTTTATTTCTTTTCTTATTAAACTGACATGCTTCAGATGTTTACAATAATTTGTACAATATAAGAATTTAATGAATTTATGATTAACGAACTGCGATCTGAAAGCGAGCAGTGGTAACACTGTTCGAAATAAAATAATTTTGTCTCCTCTGCGGGAGACTTGCTATTCTCCAAAATGTAAGATATAAGGCTTCTGAATTTAATCAAAAAATTCCAATTTTAAATGCAAAGTATTGCCCCTGTACAAAATAAAATACTTTTATCTTCTACTCCCTAACCTGTTGCTATTCAGTAAAACGTAAGATATCTAACCTTCAGAACTAAAGTTTGGTAAGGGTCTGTTTAATTATGATAAAGCTACTGAAGGCTATCTGCCTAAGGAGAGGGATGTCTTCGTGGAGAACTTCCTAACAGAAACTGACTCATATTCACGTTACATACGGGAAAAACCACAAAAAAGCCAATGCAGCCAACCCGTTCGCAAGGATTTCAAGTCTCGAACCGAACTATGAGTTTCAGCGACCGATCGACTGCTGGTGAGCTCAACAAACTAAGAAATTTAAAAGTAATAAACGCAGTTGTGAGGAATACTTTCTACTTTTTGATCTTACTGATTTAAATTAAAATGCCCTTAAATCATGAGATGCCTGGTTAGAAATATAAACTATTTTTACGAAATGACACTAGCTTGACATTCATTAAAATCATTCTATATTTTCCCTTTTTTATGAGAACTACTTTAAGCGACTACTAAAATAAAAAAATTAATTTCAGTCATTTAATTCTCATTTAATATTATTATTATTATTTATTTATTACGCGATTCAACATTAGGCACTATACGGAAACGGAAGAATGCCCCATGGAGGACTTTTTAAAGGAAACTGGCTCGTATCCACGTACCACATAAGGAAAACCACGAAAGCCAGCCCGATCACCGGGAATCGAATCCCGGACCGAGCAACCAATATTCAGCAGCTTTTACCATTCGGACGCTGGTGGGCCTATAATAAAGTTTGAAGATAGTTTTGCATCTCCAGTAAACCCTCGGCGAACGCGGGGATTACGTCATTAACACATTAATCTTGTGGATAAATCGTGTTCTGCAGAGTTTACTTTCTATGGGAAAAAAAGGATTAGGTTTAGTTCAGATTGAGAGAGTATGTATAGTTTATACAAACCTAAAATATTATTGTATATAAAAGAGAAAATGAAACAAATGGTAATCGAAAGCCTTTCTATTACTGCTTAAAATGTAGGTAATCTTTTTAAATAGCTGGTGATTTTTGCTTGGGGCAATATCTGATATGACTCATTAATATCTCTCATAAAGTATTCTCATCTTTCTTCATTTGGGTCCATCTCCACAACAAAATCGGAGAGTTCCTGTGCTTTTTTCAACAACAAATCGTTCCATTTCTTGTATGTTAAAAGGCTCTTTATCTTCTTCACTATCAATGTTTTCACTATCAACTAGTATTATCAGATCATCCGAATCTTCACTTGTCATTTCCTACAATCGTCTTTCCCGATGATCGTCTTTTCCGACAAGTTCTTTAATTTTCCTTATTTCATACAAACTCCTTCGCTACCTATTGCTTTTGTAATTTGTACGATTTCCTGAGCTTCATTTTCAGTCGATGAAAAATATTTTATAATCGTTGATAACTTGTGGTCAGCTCTGATGCCAGCAAGCATTCATTGTTGATAACTTGTTTCCATACGAGTTTAAGGATTTCTATGGAGCGACTTTTGTTGAACTGCTTTCATAATATCAGAAGTATGTCGTGCTTTAACTCGTATAGTGCTTTATTTGCAGAGATGTAAACTTGTGCGACCTAACAGGCTCTGAATGTTCTTATGATTTCTTGATCTTTCTTAGATACGGAAGTGGGGTTGGGTGGAAGAAATACATTTGGATGCAAAGCTGCGAGGGCTTCATTACCGTGTTCTGGAGTATTATAGAGAATTAAGAGAACTTTAATATTCACGTTTTTGCTGATGTGAGTAATGTTTAATTTCGTGAATAAATGAATTTTGAAACTAGTCATTGAATTTACTATCGCAAAGCGGCGACACTCTACAGGGTACCCCGTATAACTGAAATGTCGCACTGGACAAATTAAAGGGATACAGTTAAGAAAAGGCACATACGCAAAATCACGTTCCGTAAGTCCGCATTCGGCAAGGGCTTACTGTGATATATATTTAAATATGTTTTCTAAAAATATAAAACAATATTCTTCTCCCCTCTCCAAGAAAATATTTTTCATGCTTACCATTTCGCCATCTGCTTAATTCATATTCTGCACGTGTCAGCTGAGCTTTCACACGCAAGGCTTTTTCTCGTTCTTTCTCGTATCGTCGTTTCCATTCCTCCGCTGTTAATTCTTCATTGACGACAACTGTATTCTTGATAGTCTTGGCTCTATGAAACGTTATGATGGTTTCAGAATCCTTTATTTAAACTATTTTGAATATATATATACACTTAAAACAGAACTAAAAACGTTATCTGGGAAATTTTATAAAGGAAATATTTCTAGCCCTCAATCAATTACTAGGAAAACTGTTAGGTAATTCTTCAAAAATAAAAGTATAAAAGTGATAGCAAAACAATTTTGAAAATTGTATGAAACACAAAACGTTGAGCTTGTATAAATATTATAAGCTTATATAAACCCTACCGTCTAAGGTATTACTTCATCAATTTGCATTTGAAAAGATTTCTCTACGCTTAACATATTTCCGAACCATATTTATATGTAACGGATTTTTAGCCTATGAGAATAAGTTTCTTGACATTTTTACTACAAGATCTTTTTTTTTAATTAACCTAAATTTAATGTAAACATTATTCATTTTTACTTCCTTTTACGAAGTAAAGGAAGTATTGTAATCTCGAAAAATTCCGGTTACTATAATTCAGCGAAAATATCCATTTTAACCTATCGAATGCAATAGAGCGAAGTTTTAGCCTGACATCTGTATTTAATGACAGAATAAAGGACTCTTTTCCTCAAAACGAATTATAAAACTAATTTAAAATGGATTCAGAAGAGAATTTTTCGTGGCGACCGTTACATACGTATGTATGTATGTATGCATCTCGCATAATTCAAAAAGAATAGCCTCAGAACGTTGAAATTTTGTATATACGACTGCTATAGCAGGTATTTGTGTACCTCCCTTTTTAGTAGCAATAAGCCGCACCAAATGAAGATATATATATATATTGTTACGAAATGTACAGGCGCGGTAAGATGGCTTTCCCGCAAAGCAGTTTTAGGGTTGCCATAAAAGGGCAAAGGAAGGCAGGATTTCCACCTTTGGCGAGAAATCGCCCGTTCGGCGATAAAATTTGCATATGCCATGGACGGATGGAGAACTTTCTGGAACGAATTCTTACCGGTTTAGCCCAGAATGTTCTCGAACACAAGCCGAAAGCTATATAAACAATGCTGGTCCGCAGTCAGTCAGTGTGCTTCATCGAGAGGGCGAGTGAGTGTGCCTCGTCTAGATGTATCGAGTTGATGTCTCGTCTAGCGACTCAATCCCTGCGGAGTCGATCGAGTTGACAGCCGGGCAGCGAGTGCCGAGTGGGTCGTCGAGTTCACCGAAGGAGTCTCTTAGTGTATCGGTTAGTGCATAGTCGAGAGAGCGTGTTGAGCTCCGGGAACGACTGAACCGAAGAGTCGGGAGCCGTGCTCTGTGTGTCTTCGAGTGCATCGCGAGTTGTAGCGTGGAGAGTCTAGAGTACGTGGAGTTTCGAGAACGACCGAGCAGAGTCGGGAGCTGTGCTCTGGTGCTTTGCAGTGAAGCTGTCTTCACCGTGATAGCCTGATAACCTGAAGGCTGTGTCGTTGATCGTCTCAGCGTGTTTATAGTAGTTCATCGACGACTGTAAAACGTGTTTTGGAGCTGTCCTGACAATACTGGCTAATAAAGTGTGTTTCGATACTTCATCAAGTAGTGTTGTCATTATTCACTCCAAATCCATACGAACCCCGTACCAACGGGAAGGAAGAAAATAACGTAACAACTGGTGTCAGAAGAAAAGAAAAAAAAAAAAAACGGAACAATATATATATCTTCTCTGTTACTCGGCTCATTGAGCTCAGTTTTTTTATTCTTATATGTTGGTTTTTGCTTTGAAAATGATTAAATTATGTTGATCTTCCGGTTTTTATGCCTTTAAAAAAATTTAATTTCCGCTATTAGTAACTCTTATTTATTATTATTATTATTTATTGCAAAAGTTGTAGAATTATCAACAATTTCAAAGTTAAGATACAATAACACGCCGAACAAGTATTAATTTAGAAGTCAAACAAGAAAAATCAGCGTTATATTTTCAAATTTTCACAGGACTAGTTTCGATGGTTTTCCCGAATCATCATCGTCAGCTGCAAAAGCTCAAGCAGCAGCAAAGTTCTGTCTAGAACAATATTAATAGAAATTTTTCGCTCCGATCTGTTTATCATTTTGTCGTTCATAATTACGTGATCATATCATCTCCATTAATACACATTTTTCTCGATGGTAGGATCTCATACTTTTGAAAATAATCCACTGCTTGCTGCTTTGTAGAAGGTAGTTTCCAAATTTTAATCATAGCATCTATACTTACGACCAGAATACAGGATTCCTTATTCCAAAACGGATTCTAAAATGTATTAATAATGCATTTTTTCGTGACGTCGTACGTATGAACGTATGTATCTCGCATAACTGAAAAAGGCTTAGGAGTAGAATGTTTTAGTTTTGTACATGGGGCTGCTATAATATTAATTTATGCACCTCCCATTTATATTGAAATCGTCAGTACTAAATATATATATATACATACACACCCTTCAACCTTTAAGCAGCTCTAAAGTCTTTCCCCGGCCTTTATTTTCGCAATCGTTGCTTGTAGTCATATGCTTTGAGTTACAGAAGTGTTTAAAATGACCAAAATACTCATGTTTTGACAATGACAAATAAAAAGAAATTAATTTTTTCCAAATGACTAAACCTAACTTTCGATGCCGTCTCCCAGTTCCTATACGTATATTTGGGAAACTTTTATACTTGTTATGAAAAAATAAAAATATAAGAAGTTTGACTTCCGTTCAAAAACAAACAACTGGGATATTTGACTTCAAAATTTGCAATTTTTGATGTCATTGCCTTGAGGGATCCTCTAATTAAGTTAAAATAATTCGAAGAAATAAGTATAAAAGAAGTCCAACAAGAAATGTGTATAGCTTAATAGGCAGTACAAGGAAGTCACGTGGTGTCCATGTCAGGTTTTTTTAAAGTAGAATCCCATCGTTTTGAAAGTTATCCACGGTTTGCTGTTTGGTAGAAAGGACGTTCCAAATTTTAATCTTTCCAAAATGCAAGAAAACATTTTAGTAATAACAATTAATTTATATCCTTATTTATAAAAGCAATACGTGGCTTATCGGGAATAAATACTTGTTTAGAAGAAATTGAACGCGCATATGTTATTTATGTGTGTGTTGCCATGTACCGCTTATCCATTATTGTCGCTACATGGCGACAAGAAATTAGGTAATTCTCTTTAAAAAAATTTATCGACAAATTTACGTTACGAATAATAGGAATATGGAAGGGTTGGAATACGGAAATATTTACTTTTTCCAAATATGTTTAACAATTTGCTTGGTGTATTCTGAACGTTTGCAAGATTCATCCTTTAAAACGTAATTTGGTTTATGCGCGGTAGAATTAAAATCAGTTCAACACAACTGAATTTAGGTGAGTGCACTTACTACGAAAAATATCAAATACATTTTAAGGATCAACAGTTGCCTTGCGGGTGTTACGTCGAAATGAAACAAATGCTGATTGAAAGTATTTCTACTGCTTAATTTCTACGTACGTGATACAAGTATTTTGTTTAAATAGTTGGTGATTGTTGTTGGGGGCAATGTCTGAGGCAACTCATTAAGCGTTTCGCAGTAAGAAGGGCAATTTTTAATACCTCTCACAAAGTATTCTGTTCTTCATCTCCAATCTCATTGCAAACTCAGACCGCTCTTCTGTTTCTTTAACAATTAGTTTAACTTCCTGTACTTTAAAGGCTCTTCATCTTCTTCACTATCACTTCTTCCCCCTATGTCAGTGTTGTAAGATCATTCAGTTCTTCATTTATCGTTTCAAAGTCTTCATTTTCAACTAATTCTTTATTTTCAATTTCTTCCATACCTGAAAATCCTTCGCCGCCTATTGCTCTCGCGATTTGTACTATTTCCTCCGCTTTATTTTCAGTCGATGGAAATCCTTTAATATTGTCGGCAATTTCTAGTTAGAGCTGATGCCAGAAAGCATTTATTATTAATGAATTAACTTCCCTGCAATTTTAATAACTTCTACGCTGTATCTAATGTTGAATTCCTTCCGAAATGCCATTAGATCGTCGCTCTTTCCTTCGTCTAGTGCTATATTTGCTGAGATGGAAACATGCTTGACATAATACACTGGTGTGCAAAAATTAAGGACGAAGTCGAAAAATTAGCATATCAGCTGAACGAAGAGGCAGAGCGGACAGAAAGACCAATCAGGAGATTAAGTAAGGTGATGTACGGTAGCACATGCGCAGATATGCAGGTAGACGTAATGGGGGAGTGTTTGAGTAGTATAAAGCATGTTGTCGGTGTAAGATCAGTATTCCTCGCAAAGAGATTGCACGCCGTATAGCAGTTAAAATCACACGAGTTGCTGCCTCAGCGAGAAATGGCGAATAATCAATCTGTTAGACGACATCTGGATGCTTTTACCCGAGGTCGAATCATTGGGAAGTTGGAGGAAGGCCGCAGTGTGACAAATGTGGCTGCAGAGTTCGGAATTGCTCACAGCATCGTTTCACGACTTTGGAGACAATTTCAAACTACAGGAACAGCTATCGGGGGGTTTAGTAGTGGTCGTCCACGAGGAACCACTCCCGCAGATGACCGGTATATTGTCTTACAGGCCAGAAGAAACAGGCGGCAACAGCGGGAGAAAGAAGAAACAGCGGGAGAAATCGCTAGACACACGACACAGGCGACTGGACGACCGATATCGCGTTTTACCGTGGCCAGAAGACTGCACGGTGGTGGTCTGTTTGCACGACGCCCTGTACGGTGTGTACCTCTAACGCCTGCCCATCGGAGAAGGCGTTCTCTGTGGTGCCGGGAACACCAGAATTGGAGAGACAATGAATGGGGACGAGTACTCTTTACAGATGAGAGCAGATTCAGTCTGAGTAGCGGTTCTCATCGCATACTCATCTGGAGAGAGCGGGGAAGCCGCAATCATCCCTCAAACATCATTGAAAGTGACAGGTATGGAGGTGGCGGTGTTCTCGTTTGGGGAGGCATCATGCTTGGTAGTCGTACAGACCTTCACATATTCGACGCAGGTTCAGTCAACGGGACCCGTTATTGTAACGAGATTCTTCTTCCATATGTGCGTCTTTTTAGAGGCGCTATGGGTCCGCAGTTCCTTTTCATGGACGACAATGCACCATGTCATCGCACAGTAGCTGCCGAACAGCTCTTAGAGAGTGAGGATATTGAACGTATGGATTGGCCGGCACGATCTCCGGATATCAATCCCATCGAACATGTATGGGATTTTCTAGGCAGACGCTTGGCAGCTCGTGCCCTACCACCAGTAACGATTCCGGAGCTTCAATTGGCGCTGCAAGACGAATGGGCAGCAATGCCTCAACAACTCATTGACACCCTCATTCTCAGCATGGGCAGACGCTGTGAAACCTGCCTAGCAGTCAGGGGAGATCATATCGCCTATTAAAGACTGGATGTTTCTTGCTGGACACCCATCACAGGGATGTTTCGGCCTTCAGTCGCATTGCGCTCCATGCTACTTTTTCAATAAAGCTTCTTTTTATCCCTCTGATTTCTCCTTTAGTAAGTGTTGCTTACATTACTCATGTCCTTACGTATTGAGGATCTTACGGTATTAAATGTGTTGATTTGGAAAGCTTTTGTACAAAGTTATATTGATAAAACCGTCTCGTCCTTAATTTTTGCACACCAGTGTAGGTTTTGAATGTTTTTATGACTCCTTGATCAATTGGCTGGATCAAGAGAGAGAGCTATTTGATACAAAGAATAAAACCTCAACGTTTGGATGTATTGTCGTAAGAGCATTAGTACCGCGTCCTGGTGCATTATCGATAATTAGGATATAAGTTATTTCTCCCGCCTTCTTGGCATGCCTTCGTGGTGTGGTCGTTTGCACCCTGGGCGTGTATTGCAGAGGTCCGTGGTTCGATTCCTGGCGAAGGTATTGCTAATTTTTTATATCTTCTGCTTCCAAAAATTACCTAATGTCTATACAAGGAGAACTTTAAAGCTTAAGTTTTGTTGTTCTAATCAGTGCTGGGCTTTAAAAAAATGAACTTTCAAACCATTCATTAAAGAGGACAAGCAGCATGGTCGATGCTCTGCAACCTATCACGTATAGTTGAAAATTCTCGCGCTAGATAAGGTAAATAGAGATAATTAAAATAAGACGGTTACGCAAAGTCGCGTTCCTCAAGTCTGTGTTCGGCAAGGGTTTATTGTACATCAAACGATTGCTCTGGAAATTCAGAAAATGTAATCCAACAATAATTTGCATTGTTTTACCATGAATTTAGATTTGCTTTCACTTTATTAATTTGTTTTTACTTTTTAACTATTGGAAATAAATTCTATGAACAACTATTGGAAGAAAATGCGAAAGTTTACTTGATAGACGATTACCGTAAATTAAAAATTACGTTTCATACTATTCGTAAAACCATCCAAGGTGGTGTTTTGTTTATTAGTATTTTAAACCTAATTGATTGAATCTAGGATCGAAAATTTTCTATCTACAATTGTAGAATATTTAAAATTTCGATATATATCAGACTGCATTTTTACCTCACATTTGTTACCAAACATGTTTGGTATTTGGATTAAGGGCAGTATGCTTTCGAAATCACAGAATAAATACCTTACCTTCGTCCAAAGTCAAGAGTCGATTTAGTTTCGCATTCATTAAATGATGCTGGTGAGCAACAAATGATAATGGTGGTGCGTGAATTACCTCCTAAACTTTCTTGTAAAATTCTTGTCAACTTACTGTCTCGATAAGGTATATGAGATTTCTGAAAATAAAAAGGGTGCAAATAAACATGTAATCAGTTGTATGATGATTCAAAACAGAGACAATCTGTAAACTGTTGACTTAAGCTAGCACGTTTAAGATAATTCATAATACATGAATTATTTTTTAGAAATATTACAATAAGGAATGTCTGCAAAAGACGATAAATTTTTCAAGAGAATTTAAGAAGATAGGGCTTTTAAGAAATAATACATTTGTTGTTAAGAAAATGCTTGATGTCATATTTATACAATTTTAAATAAAATTTTAGCATATTAATTAATGCTAAAGTTAACATAGAGTTATGACATGCAACATAGAATTACAATGCAACATCAAGTCAATGCAACATTAGAATTACTATACAGATTAAACCACGGTACTATCTCGATGAATGATCAGTTGGATTGAGCTGATAACGAATGGGCATACTTTACCATTGGTTAACAGGCATCATTAATACACGCTCTGCACAAACAAAACAAAAAAGGACAGTTCTATTTTCCGTTCTATTGCTCCGTTTGGCGAAATTTAATTTGCCTTTTTCATAACTCGAAATCACGACTTAGGATGCATACTGGATTTATTATTGTTCTAACATAAGTATTTTGACAAAAAACAGAACTTTTCCTGAAATGACATACGGATTTTTTTTCCATATTTCGATTCTATGACACAAATTAGTCTTATATATTAAATTTTGTAAAATCTGGTGGAAACATACCCAGAAATTTAAAAATTTATCTTGGCGCACGTTTTTTAGTTTGCGCCAAAAAGAATTCACTTAAGGAAATTCTTAATATATGAGAACTTATTTTCTTTTCACTTCCATTATGCACTAGCGGAAAGAAAATGTGCATCGTTCTTTCTTTCAAAAAGTTTAACAAAGTGCTTAAACTACATTTGGAGCTATTATTGCTTATAACAATACAGCCAAATTTCAAAACGCGCTAATTTATAAATTCAGGTATATCTTGGGAAATTTTGAATAGAAAACTCTAACTATTTGTAGTTTTGATTAGAATTACATCTACTTTAAGATGATGGCAAAACTTTTATACTTTATAATTAAAAAAATTTCGAAAAAATTTATAAAAATTATTTAAAAAATATGAATTTAAAATCAAATCAAAATGTAGCTGCGAATTTTGTTTGGACTGAATCTAAATTTCGAACTGTGAAAGAAGGAATCAAATAATATTAATAAAAAAGAGATATCAATAAATATATACCAAACTCAATGAGGAGCTAAAATTTTGAGAGCTAATTTTTTAAAAAACCACTCGAACGACTTTTACAAAACTTGGCGCTTTGAGTGATTGACTTGAAATATGGGGAAAAGTAGGTACGCCATTTCAGAAAATGTCGATTTTGTATCAGAATACTTACGTTAGAACAATTGCTGTATATAAATCTGACATATATCCTAAGTCGCACTTTCGAGACATGAAAAATACAAGTTAATTTCGTCAATAGGAGCAATAGAAAGGGAGATATAGAACTATCCCTTTTTTTTAAGCATGATGTACTTCGTCAACTAAAGTTGTCTGTAAATCAATTTATTTCAAAAATACTAAGTATTAAATATAACTGACGTATTTTCTCGTATATATGAGTAGGTCGCATTGTTTTAAACCAGATGAGTAGTATGATGAAGTAAGGTGCGTCTTATACACGTGAAAGACTACAAATAGGCAGCACGCATTTAACGGTTAAGTATAAAATCATTGTCCTTGGATAAACGTATATAATAAAAAAAAACTTGAGTCTGATGCGCTTGATGCACTGATGATATATTTTTAATAATTTGCCCAAACCTTTTATTTAATGTAATTTTTAAATCTCCTCGTTCAAAAAGATTCAGCCTGTTTCTTATTTTTCATCCTAGTTTTGAGTTTTTCGTAATTTTTTTTATTATGTGTCCTTGTGTTCATGCTCCCGACTTTTTTATGCTGCACTTGTTGATTAAAAATGTTTAAAAAATACCACTAATTCAAAAAAAAAATATATTAAATACTTTTAGTTTCATAAGAATAAATTGAGTTTAATTAAAAAAATTAAATTTAAATACATATTTAATTAAATATTCTTTGCGCCATTCCTGCAAGGAATGAAATTCAAATTTAAACAAATTTAAATTCTTAACAAATACGTATAAAAGTAAAAGTAAAAAAAAAAGCAAAGTTAAATTCTAAAAAAAAGGAAAAAAGCCAAAATAATTTAAAATAATTTTAAAATATGCAAACATGTAAAAGATTTAATTCTCGAACTAATCTACACTATCATTTAAATTCAGAAGCATAAGCAAATCAAGTGCAAAATCTATCCATGAAAATAAATCTACTAATTTAATAAATTAAAATTAAATTAAGAATTTTTTAAAAAATGCATATGTGAATGATCGTAGAGTAGGCAGGAGGAGACAGACTTATCAAGGGGAAGTTGCCTCCAAACCTAACTCTCCAATCATTCAATTCGTGTTTCGTCATTCATGCAGGCAAGGCTAAAAGTCAAAACCAAAGTAATTCCAATAAAGTGGTACCCTTAGAAATTAACATTTAAGTAATTAACATTTAAGAATTAAAGTTCAAAAAGGAAAATACTAATGAAGTCTTTTGAGAAAACAAGCAAGTAAAGTCAAGAATTAAACTTTTTCTTAAAAAATTAAAATTTTTTAAAAATTAATTTTTTATAAAATAATAAAAAAATCTAGAAACCAATGTATTTTAGAAACATCCTTGTCTACAGAAACTTCCCCTACACGAATATGCAATCAATAAAAAGAAACTATAAAAGAACTATACATAATCCATATAAACCAATAAGAAATAAAAAAACAAAAAGAAAAAAAAAGAACTAATTCACAATTTTAAAATAAATATATATTTAAAAATATAATTTCATATTTAGAAAATACTTAGATACTACATAAAATTTTTTTAAAAAAATACTTAAAGCAAGTAAATTCTAACTTCCCTACTATATGAGTGTTGGGGGTCTGCAAAAGTGTTGTGAAAGAGAAGTAAGTGTGTTCTTCAAATTATATAGATGGCGCTTATGTAGGTAAAGTTGAGTGTCAAGCTGCTATCTTTGTTATGGTAAAAAGATTTTTTGTAAATATTAATATTAATTAAATTAAATTAAAAATCCTAAAGGTAGTAATATCAATTATTTAGGGAGTTAAGTAACTGAGCCAATCAAGAGATGTATGTTTGCTTGAAGAAAATTAAAGTGAAGTGGTATGTGAAAAAAATGTAAACTGTTTGTAATTTGAAATGTGTGTTCTGTTGAAAAATTGTGAAAAATAAAGTAAAACATATTTTGTGTGAAAATTGCAAAAAATTAAAGTAATTAAGAAAATTGAAATGTTTTAATATTAAAGTTTTAAAGTAAAATTTCCTAAAATTTTTTTGAAATGAAGTCCTTAAAAAAACCTCTAAAAATTCCCAGAAATTTCTCAAAAATTCCTTTAGGAAGTTAAATAAAACTTAAATTTGATGAAAGAAAATATTAAAAGTTTAATGAACTGGATTTAATTGGTATATCAAAACTTAACTAAATACTGGCTAAAGTATGGAAAATTAGAAGAAGATCTAAGGGTACCACTTTATTGGAATTACTTTTGGTTTTGACTTTTACCCTTGCCTGCATGAATGACGAAACACGAATTGAATGATTGGAGAGTTAGGTTTGGAGGCAACTTCCCCTTGATAAGTCTGTCTCCTGCCTACTCTACGATCATTCACATATGCATTTTTTTAAAAAATTGTTTAATTTAATTTTAATTTATTAAATTAGTAGATTTATTTTCATGGATAGATTTTGCACTTGATTTGCTTCTGAATTTAAATGATATTGTAGATTAGTTCGAGAATTAAATCTTTTACATGTTTGCATATTTTTTAATTATTTAAATTATTGGCTTTTTTCCTTTTTTTAGAATTTAAATTTGCATTTTTACTTTTACTTTTATACGTATTTGTTAAGAATTTAAATTTGTTTAAATTTAAATACTTTTAGTGTATTTTTCTCATGTATTTACGTTATATCATTTCTTTCTCACTACAGTATACAGCTTTGTATCAATAAACAATTAATTATCAGTTTTATTAATATTTCTTTATGCTCAATGAGATCTTGCTGATCATTGATCCCCTTTAAAGTTTCATTGAACCTAAGGGGTCCGTCCATACCAGTTCTGCTCGTATCCTTCGGTCTACAAGAAAAAAAATGAACTGTCAAATGCAGAATATTTGCATGAGCCTACTTTGGGAATCTCATACCATATATTCATTAAGAGTCTATGTAATACATCATACTTAGACTATTTTAAAGATAATAGTTAATTCAGAACTATTTCAAAGGTTGATTGGCTTTGGATGATTCTATTTAAACAGACTATTATTTGAAAAGGGCTTTTTTATTTTTGGAAAAACGCTAGATCATCAGAAATCCTTTGAGATTCCGGCTAAGGTAGTACGCATCCTTTGGCGCTGTTCTTTCAGAGACCTCATTCACCATTTTTCCAGATTTCCACGAGAGAAAAACAAGGTTAGGTTGGCATACAGGAGGATTTTGTATAAAACATGAGGGTCCAAGTGGTAATCAGGCTTTGGCTCTTTTCCGTTTTTCCTACTTTGACTATTTAATTAAAATTATTTATTTTAGAATAGGCACGCCCTGTCTTATAGTACTTATAACAGTACTATAAACTAAGGACTTAAGTAGTAACACTATTATACAGTAATTTTTAAAATTTTTGTCCAGAACTTTGAATAAATATAATTATTATGACGGGACCTATTATGTAAGTACAGGGTGCGGCAGCGTTCATAGTAGGATTGTAAGGATCTTAAGTTTTACTAACGTTTATTTTATTTTAAATCTTTACTATCACTTCTTATTTTCTACTTCCGGCCAGAATTATAAGCGTGAAGGTTTTTATGCAAAGTTTGTCTGGCGAACGCCAAGTATTTAAGTGTGGCCTTTTTGCCAAGCGTA